AAAAAAAAAAAAGTTGCAAATAGAGATTCCATTTGACCCAGCAATTCCACTACTGGGAATATACCCCAAAGAGACCATAACTGACATCCAAGCAGACAGATGCACACCCATGTTTACTGTGGCTTTGTTCACAAGCAAGGAGTTGGAAACAACCTAAGTACCCATTAACAAACAAATGGATAGAGAAGCTGTGGTATATTCACACAATGGAATACTATGCTGCACTGAAAAACAAGGAACTCAGGCAATATTATTCAAAATGGGTGACTGAAGGACATTAAGCTGAGTGAACTATCTCAGTCACAAAAGGACAAATACTGCATAGTGCCACTGTTGTAAAACAGGACTGACCTTGGGGTTGGACTGAGAAAGATGGGATAAATAATATACACTGCATTGAAACAGATGAGGGAGAAAACTGTTTAAAAGGGATATGTGATTAGGTGTATTTTTGTCATAACAGGAGTCTAGAGTGAAGACTACATGGTGGATTAGACCTGGGGGAAGGTTTGTAAAACAATGGAAGAATTTTTCTTTTACTTTTCCAAGAGGGTAGTGTACTAGGGGGGAGGTTTGGGAGGGGAGAAAAGTGCAACAATGAATGAATGGAAATCCAAAGTTTCTGTAAATTTTTACTGAAATTAATAATAAATTTAAATGAAAAAAAATCACACACAAAAAGAACATGAACTGGTGAATTTGGGTGATGTGTATACAGGTATTCTTTGGAGTATTTTTGAAAATTTTTATATTGATTCGCTGAGAAAATCTATATATGTTTCACACTATCATTGAGTTATCATATTTTATAAAATTAATCAACATTCAATCCCAGAGGTATGCAGTTTGAATCCACCAGATGCTCTGCTGGAAGAAGGGGCAATCCCCTCCTGTACCAGTCAGAACCAATTTGACAGTATAAGTACACAAAATAATAAAATAAAATAAAATAAAAATTAATAAACATTGAACTATGCCCATCACTGTGCAAATTTTCTTAAGAACTGAAATTCACAAGCATATTCAAGAAGTCAAATTTGTTGCTTAGAGCTATGAAATAAGGAAAGAGGTCAATGGCAAAATGGCACAGAAATTCACAATCAACCACAGGAATTCGAAGTGCCTAAGTGGAAAACAGGACAATCTAGTCGTAGTGGGTAAGGAGGTGCAGTGTCAATCAAAGGCCAATGGTTCAAATCCACAAGATGTTCTAAGGGAGAAAGATGGGCAATTTCCTTCTGTGCAATTTCCAGTCTCTGAACACTTGCTAGAGGGTCAGCTATGAGTCCACCCCAACTCCACAGCAGTGAGCTTTTTAGTCCACTGAAAAAGTTAGTGCTCTCTTGATGGGTGGACTGAGGATGCACATGGAACACCATCTCGGAAAAATGCCTGCAGCCGTTGAATGTTTTGACTAATGGAATGACCACATATGACAGAGAAGAACCACCCCCAGGGGTTCTTGGCTGTAACACTTATGAAAGCAATGGCCAGATCCTTCCCCCCAGAGCTGCTGGGTGAATCTGAGCCGCCAGTGATTGGGCCAGCAAGGTACAGAGTGCTTAACCACTTGTGACACCTGGGCTCCTGTGAAAATGTCTCTGGAATCTGCCTATCTTTAAAATGGTGAGGCGAATCTGATACTTCAGCATAGCCTCCCCAAATGTTGGTAAAGAATCCAGTGGTAAAAAGACTAAAATGTGCATAAATCAAACAATATCTTCAATAAATTATGATTAAGTTAATAAAGGTTACTGCCAACAAGCCCTGCTTCAACAGCTCACCTTTTCGGTAGTTGTGGCGATAAATGTGAAAGGCATACAGAAGCTCATAGTAATTATGAGTCATAAGATCCACAGCTCTCGCTCGTGATTCAATTATTCCCACAACCTAAGGGGATGCAATCAGACATGAAGGTGAGCAGCAGTCCTGACAGTCACCACCGTTTTTCTCCAAGTACTCAATATATGAAAGGACTACCTCATTGTGCAGATTCACGTAGGGAAACTCGACAAGATCCTGAAGCTGGGAACGTTCACAAAGAACCACCACCAGCTGCCGCAAACAATCTAACTGTCTGAAAGGAGAGAAAGAAGGAAAGGAGGAGCGTGGTAAATGGCCATTCTGGGTTAAATTGGGCTGGTAAATTGCCATCTTTAGAAAGACTATGTGGAGTTACCTGCTAGAATCAGGAATTTGGGTTAAGGCCTCGTATGCTTGGCTGTTGTGACCCAAATCTAAATGATGTTTAAAAATGCATGTTCTTAAAGTGGCCTAAATATCAAATATGGGAGAAAAAGAGGAATAGAAATTAAAATATAACACCTGTGAAAAAGCACCAGAGAAACCGCCCCAAACTGTTCTGTTCTCACCTGACTTTTCCAGTCATCTCCGGCTTCTGTTACTGCCGCCGTAGCCAGCTGAATAACCAGTTCAGGCAAACCAACAACATCTAATAGACGCAAAACCTAAGGAGACATGACATACAGAACATTCCCACTAGTTGTTAATAGAGCAGTATACAAAAAAATGAGTGGATTTAAGAGTAAATTAATTAGACCTTTCTAGGAAGATGGCGCCGAAAACGAAGAAGGAAGCCCCTGTCCCTCCTAAAGCTGAAGGGCATCCACAGCCAAAAAAAAAAGGTCCGCACGTCACCCACCTTCTGGCGGCCTAAGATGCTGAGACTCTGAAGGCAGCCCAAATACCCAAGGAAGAGCACCCTCAGGAGAAACAAGCTTGACCACTAGGCCATCATCAACTTTGTCCTGACCACTGAGTCAGCCATGAAGAAGATAGAAGGTAACAACACACTTGTTTTCACTGTGAATGTCAAGGCCAACAATCATCAAATTAAACAAGCTGTAAAGAAGCTCTATGACATTGATGTGGCCAAGGTCAACCCCTTGATTAGGCCTGATGGAGAGAAGGTGGCTTATGTTCGACTTGCTCTTTGACTATGATGCTTTGGTTGTTGCCAAAAAAATTGGGATCGTCTGAACTGAGTCCAGCTGGCTAATTCTAAATACAAATTTTTCTCAAAAAAAGTAAATTAATTAGGAAGAAAATGAGAATATAAAAATTAATCTAAAAGAGCTGATAGTAAACAGGATTATTCAATATTTACTCTTTATTTCAAATGAAGAAAATTATTTAATTAAGGGATTTTTCTTCTCTTCAAGTGGTTAAAATAGACCAGACCAGCCAGAATGGGGCAAGGAGAGTACTTGCTCCAATCTGACTTGTAAGATGTTAAGCATCTCCTGGTATCATCTTCATGCAATCTCTTCACTTGTCCCAGAAAACCTATTAAAGTTGCATCAATAAGTTTAACACAGAGAATCTAATTTCAGAAAATACTAAGAAAGGAAAAAAGGAATTAATTTTATCCAAGGCACATGACACCAGATTAAGAATGATTATGTTCACTGTAGCCTAAAATCCCCTTTTCATTCAGATTCTTCAATCTCTGCTGAACAAATAAACAACTCTCCTGATTTCCAAGAATACAGAGTTAGCTCTGGTGGCCTAGTCTGCAGAAGGTTTTGTTACTAAGTCAAAGTGAATCTGCACCACCCTCAGGCTGTACCACAGGAGAAGGTTAAGCCACCTTCTGTTCAATCACAGCCTTGGAAACCCACTACAGGGTCAGCTGGGAGTCTGGATCTACAGCAAGGAGTGTGCAGTATGAGTTGTTTTAACTTTGCACAAACAAAACTGATTAGTATGTATCCTTTTATGTCTGCCTTTTTTAGTTGACCATTATGTTTACAAGATTTATCTTTGCTATTATATGTAGTAATTTTTCATTTCAAGGTAAGGACCAAACAATGGTACCTTATCATAATATTGCATCCTGGGGGTGGACACAATTTCCCCATCTTCTGAGCGAATCAAGCGATCCAAGAATTCCTCTTTGCCCACTTCAGATGCTGCCTGGCAGAAACATTCCAGAGCCTGGACAGAACATAAAATAACTTAAAATGGACTCCTTCAATTCTAGGTTCTATAAACAAAGGATTCAGTGGCTAAAGAAGCCACAAACTAAAATAAATGATCTAAAACTTAACTGATTCACAATTTCTGCCTTACCTACATTCTGTAATATACAACCTGATGTTATTTTATATTTTCTGTATTTATATCTTCCTTGACATTTAAATTCTATTAACTAAATGTAAACTTTAATAAAAAGGTTGATGATGGATACAGATATGTAATAGCGCATTATAGTTATTATTCATAATTAGAGAATTTACAAGGTAGCTACACAACTGATTATGACAAAATTCTTTCATTTAAAAATGTAAATATGTCAGAGGAAAAATCTTATAAGCTTTTATTATGTGAAAAATAAAAGGCAACATAAAGCCAAAAGATACTGTGAAAACAATGTAATTCACCAATAAATTTAATTTAAAAAATATACTCATGGAAACATCTGCAATGGATATCTGGGTTTTACTGGTTCTTCTTAGTATTTTCCCATGTCTAAGCCACAAAGCACAGGAAACCAAGTCTTATGTCAATGCCCTCTGTCAGACTGTTCAGTCTTGATCTTTTTTTTTTGGGGGGGGGTTGCATATAATAATTAATATATAGTGTGTTTCACTATGGCATTGTGGTTTGTTTTTTCCCTAGCCCTCTTTTTTTAAAAAAAATTTAATTTTAATGAAAGTTTACAGAGATTTAGGGCTTCCAGTCGTTCATTGTTGCACTTTTCTCCCTGCCCACCCCAGCCCTGCAAGTCTTGATAATCTTTAGAGAATACTTTGTCTTTCACCTCACCTCTCAAATTAGTGAAATGGAACCTAGTGCCCTACCTCATACACTGGCATCTATCAACCATTCAAACAGTTTACCTTCTGTCCCTCTCCTGTAACCAGGTAACACCGTCCCAGCATAAATCGACAGGAACCAACATTGACTTGACACCAGGGATGGATCAATTGAATATAATCCTTAAAGGCATAAAAGGAGCATTCTGATTAGAAAATATACACCTTTTAAGGAGCTATTCCTTCTGAAGTCATTCTTTACAGAGAGAGGGAATTAGTCTTTAATTAATACAAAATTTTATTTCTTAACATCTAGAAATTCAAGTCCAGTTTACAATCTTCACTTTAGTACCTTTCTCACTTTAATATTTGTCAGTTCAATGGCTAGATAGTAGTAATGAGTTACTATGAAGACAAAGAAACACCAAACAAACCTAATGAGGTAAGGTTGGGGGAGAGAAGAGCTCTAGAAAAGTACTTGGGAATAATATCATTAAGAAATAAATGAAGAAAATCTCTTGAGTGTTGGTACAATCAATTTTACTGTGGTTCCCTGCCAATACACAGATTATTACTAGCAAATTACAATGAGGATAACATCACAAATTTTAAAAGATCTTCAGAAACTCCATTTTTTAGATACTCAATAGAACTCACCTGTAATTGCACATACTGACAATTTCCCATCAAGCACTCCAAAAAGAGAGAACCAGGATTGCTAGGCCATCTGGTCACTAGATAAGGAAAACTTTTTCTTTCACTGATCATCAAAATCAGCAGCTTTAAGGAGGCTGGCAGAGAGGAGGAGGTATAGCCTTCTCAAATCACTATGTAACATGAATATGACACAGGCCTAGGCAGTCTCTGGATTACACATTTTTGAAAACTTTTACTTGCTCTCTCATGTTAATAAATCTGCCCTCACTTTCAAACCAACTAACCTTTATTCACACCAGATTAATTATACATTATTTGTAACCAGGGAACTGCCTGTGTCATGAAGAAAAAGTATACAGCATATCAGGAGCCTAGTCATCCAGCTTGGAATGAAGTTAACCACGGGCTAACATGTGTAATTCATCTCTCTATCTACCTGGCATACTACAGACACATACCACTGGTGCCAGAGGACAGATACCCAGCACCTAACTAACACATATGACAGAATGAAACACTGCTTGGTTCTGGACCATCCTCACAAATGCAGTTGTGCTTCATCTTATTGTAGGTTTTCTTTTTTCACTATGCTATTAAGCATGATGCCAATTTCCAGGGACTGGTCCCTCCTGATAAGTCCAAAGTATTTAAGATAAGGTCTCCCCATCCTTGCTTCTTAGAGGAGTATTCTGGCTATACGTCTCTGTTAAAATTCCTATTAATCTGGGCTTTTTAAATTGTATGCACCTAGAGACAGAATGATGATTCTCCAGGGACGGGTTCCTCCTGATAGCATGAGACAAAGTTTCTCCATTCTCAGTTCTACTGAACATTCTCATTTACTCCAGGGCAGACTGGTTTGCTCTTTTGGCAGTTCATAGTGTAACTAACATTCTGCTCCAACACCATAATTCAAAGAAATCAATTCTCTATTTGGTTTTGTTTATTAAAAGTCGAACTTTCACATGCTTACTAAGTAAATGAAATTGCCACAGCTTGGGTCAAGTACACTAGTATACAAAATGACATTCTTTTAAAAAGTTTCTTCAACCTTTGCAATTTATAGCCTCTGAAAACTTGCAGGGTCATCCATGGATTGCTTCTGATTTGACAGCAATGAGTTTTTCCCAGCAGATTTGCTCAATGTAATCTATCTTTTTTCTAACCACTGCTTCCATGGGCACTGGCTGTACATCCAAGTAAAATGAAATCCTTAACAACTTCAATTTTTTCTGTTCATCACATTGTTGTTATTGGGCCAGTTGTATGGACTGATTCATTTTTATATTATTGAAGTATCAATATATAGGGTATAGTTTTATCATTAAGTGCTTTAAGTCTTCATTTTTAACAAGCAAGATTGTATCATCTGCATATTACAGACAGCTAAAGATTCTTCCTCCAAGCTCAGTGCCATATTATTCATTATAGCCCAGTTTTTCAGATTATTTCATTAGCACACAGGTTGAATTAAGTATGGTGAAAAGATTCACACCTTTCCTAATTCCCCCCCTCTTCCTAATTTTAAATCGTAAGGGAGTCTGGTGGCCTACTGGCAAAAAAGCTGTGCTGCAATCACGAAGGCACACGGTTTGAGGCCACCAGCTGCTCCGTGGGAGAAGGATGGGCAGTTTCCTCCTGTGTGATTAACTGCCTCTGGAAACCCATTGAAGGGTCAGCTATGGGTCAGTTCCAACTCTATGGTACACAACAACAACAAAGATAAACCATATAGTCTACCTTTTGTTGTTAGGTGCCAATGAGCCAACTACCAGTCACAGCACACGGAACCAAGTCCTATTCAGTGCCAGCTTCATGCAAATACTTTTTGTTGAATGAAAAGAATAATGTATAAGTGAATGCAAGAATAATGCCTTAAAAAGGTTTAAAGAGCCTTCAGTAAGAAAGGCGAAATAAAAATAAAAATTGGAAGTATACCTGAAAAGAAAAAATCCATTATCAACTCTTAATAGAAGGGAAAAGAACCCAACCTCATTAAAAGACTTTATTACAGATAGAGGACTAACCTTTGACTATTTAGACAGAAGACATTTTTCCAACCACTTTTAAGTAAAAGGATACAAAAGTTGCAAGAAATAATTGGTAACTGCAGTAATCATTTCAGGCCAATTCAATCCACTTTGGGTCAGAGGTGCCTTTGGTTGTGAGAAGAGATGAGATATAATGAGTTTTCTTGCAACTTCTTGGAAGAATAACTCCACAACTGTCTGAGGGCTAGATACTTAAAAAAGAAAAAATGATGACAATTACAATCTTGTGAGAGAGAATCATCCGTTTTCGATTGAGACAGTCTTGTAATTCACTGGATCTACAACAACGAACATTCATTATTTTAATAAAATGTGACAAGGGGGCTGTGGTGGCCTAGTGGCAAGAAGCTGCACTGTAATCCTGAACGTATGCAGTTCAAGGCCACCAGCTGCTCTGCAGGAGAAGGATGAGCATTCTCCTTCCGTGTGATTAACTCCCTCTGAAAACCCAACAGAGGGTCAGCTATGGGTTGGTTCTGACCCTACAGTAAACAACAACATGGGTGTAACAAATGGCAATATAAATAAAAGCACTTTGTAATATGTGAAGTGCCTTTCCTCCAGTACTCTGAACCAGTTCTTTGGAAAAATGTCCAGAATGGAGAAAACGACATGTTAACAGTCTGCTAGAAAACAAAGGCAGCTTGTCCACTGCATAGCCAAGTCTTTGGAGCAGCAGAGTGGAAAGCAGCGGTGCCCGGCTGAAACACAGTGGTGGACAGCACCATGTCACGCTCCACAGTCCTGACTGGCAATAATCTAGTCTCCTGAAGTGGCTCACTGTGCTTCTTCCAAGTCTTCTATTTCCAGGGCTTCAATCTGTTTTTCCTATTCGGTCATGACTGAACTGGTTCAAATCAGCTTCCCCTTTACATTAAATAATACAGAAAGATGTATTCAAGAGTGCAGGTTTCATAGCAATATTGAGTTTAAACATGGGTTGACTAAAAAACAAAACAAACAAACAAAAAACCCACAAAAAAAACACCAAACCCAACAGGCAAGATTATAAAAACTCTGATGAACTCTACCATTTTTTAAAAAATCATTGTTTGATCGCTAACACATCAATATACACCAAAAAAGTTAACACACACATACATATATGTATCTAACACCTAGGCTTACCAATTCATGGATCCTTCCCAAGTCTCAGACAAGAGGAAGATAACAAGTGAAATCAAACAGTTCAGCTAAGTTTTCACAGCAAAAGGGGCAATAGAATATTCTAACGAATGTACAACAAACTCCAAATTTAAATCAAATATACACACACCTCTGTACCTACCAAATTTACTTGCCATTAAAGCAGCCGAGTCTGTGAGGTCCAGTACTGATAAATGTTGAAGATTAGATTCACTGTGGGGAAAGTAAAATAAAGGCAATTTAACAAATTCTCACCTGCCAAACATTTCCTCTGCAAGTGAATACACTCAATTTAGTAAATAAATTGCACAAAAAGTTCCACTTGACAGCACAAAGAGAAGGGGAACACATCCCACTATTTAGAGTTTTGCTCACTTTTTCTTCAGTAAGGAGTGAAGGCGGAAATTTATCTTAACATTTCCATGCCAAGAAAAACGTGACCTTCCCTGAGGAACAGACGTGGTTTATCTTCCTGAAAATGTGAGATTTCATGTACTGGAGTTCCTCCCTCTCTTCTTTTGGTTACTAAGCCTCTGTTGTTGTTGTTGTTGTTATGTGCCGTTGAGTCGCTTGCGACTCATAGTAACCCTATGTACAACAGCTCTAAACTCTGCTCTGTCCTGTGCCAAT